TCATTATCCTTCCTATAAAGACAATGATCTAGAAGGTCATTCTCGAGGTACGATAGAGCAGCCGCTACCGCCATTGTCAGAACGATAGAGAGTAACCACTTAACCAAATGCTTAGTCACGGTTTCATCATACTTGTTAAAGATATTCGGCCTGAGATATATAATGCGATCACCAAACGTAACAAGCCAACTAAAGCGAAGGGAAGCTATTTTGAGCAAACATTATTGAACATTAGCCATCACCGAAACTATACTGTTGGAGCTTTTCAGGCCCGAGAAGGGCAATACAGCACTTTTTGCAAAAAATGGATTCCTAGTGCGCGTTACGGCTAGCTAGGGATGCAGATGGTTTAGGGAATAGGGAATTAGAACATTTTTCAAGGCTAAATCTCACATTTTATTGCGGAACTATTTTATAGACATGGCACTTCATGCGCTGCCTGCGAGCCCATAACTGCTACGAAATTGCTTCACAACTCGCCTTCGAAACGTGTTCGACAAAAACCCGTATGATATGGATAGAAAGCTCTTGCCACTCTGTTGCCAGGCTCGTTTTCAAGGCTTGAAACGTATATTCGAGAACTACGTTCTAATTCGTGCATGTCGGTATAATCTCATATTGGATGGCCACTGCGACCCATTACGCTTCCCTTCCAGTGATGGCGCTTAGAGGCTGCTTTCATAGTCCGCCGGCAGGCCGGCGGGCCGGCTCACTGACGTAAAAGTCAAAGTCACAGGCCCTGCGACCACCGAATGAACTTTGCTTATGAACAGTCCACGTGTAACCATATTTAACTGCAATAAAAGAATGCCGATCGCACCGAGTTTCCTTGAGTTGTCCTTCGAGTATCTTCACAAAACAGTGTGAGCCAGAATGATCGTGAATGCTGAAACGACTTGGTTTTAGATTGTGGACGCTATGTTGACGAGCATTGGCACTATTCCACGTCTCACTCACTTTGTACACATTCCTGGCCCCCAGCAAAGAATGATCATATTGTATTTTCCATTGCCGGTATCGACGAGATTGCGTGTGTAGCTGAAATTGAAGGGATGCACAACTTTCCGAACCCGTAAATACAGTAGGGTGCAGTTGAGGTTGAGTCACTTAACGCCTATTTCTCGAAGTTTATAGATAAAGCAGAAGTGGGTGGATCAAAACCAATAAAGCGCTATTGAAATACCTAGTTGCTTTCACGAATAATTGTATATACCATGCCTGGTACACCTTCTCTTAACCGTGAATACTTTTCTCTTCCGACCTCGGAAAAATGACAATCATTTGCAACCTAATCTTCCCTCATTCTGAGCGGATAACGCTAAGCTGTGGGACGGAGCTAACACAGGCTGGTAGAGCTCGAGCGTGGACGTTCGGAATGGAT